GGAGCTCTGGCGTGGGCTGGTCCATGAGGTCACGAAGAGTCGGAGACGACTGAACGAATGAACAATGAACAAATCTATCCATCCATCCATCATGATTGACTTGATCCTTCTGTGATCCAGGTTAAATATGAGACAAGTACTGTTGGTTTGCTTTTCAGTCACCTATACATAGCAAATAATGTGTCAAATTCATTATTATGTTTTCATACAACTGCAGTTACCTTCAAGATCTATCTATCTATGTCATGAACCAGATGCCTTAAAGGAGCCAGACACAAAGTAAAGGTCCAAACAAAGTTTATTAACACAACAAAAATAGCTTAGAAACACTTAACTCAGTGTTCCTAGCAGTAACTAAACGTCTGCAGCAACTGCTGTGCAAAAAAACGTAACTTAGCGGATAATCCGGATTATACTGGAATATAATCCAGGATAACAAAAAGTTCTAGCAAACTGCTTCAAAATCACAGAGTTTAATAAGCATAAAGAAACAAGGTGGGAGCAAGCAACATCGTCATCAAAAAACAGTCCCAAGTCCAAGCACGTCCAGAAGCAGATGATAAAGTCCAAGAAGCAATGTCGTCGTCCAAAAACAATCTGGAGTCAAAACGGGAGTCGAAGTCAGCACTTACGAGATTCCAGTCTGTAGAAGCACGGAAGCACAGCAATCTGCAGTCCCAGGACCCAAGCTCAAGAGTAACGGCAGCAACAAAGTCCCAAGTACGAATACAACACTTTGCCTACTGCAAAATCCCCAATGTTTGATACCTACTTTTATCCTATAACTCATTATCAGATGATCAACTGCTCACCACCCTGTCTTCATCACTCTCAGCTGCCTTAGTTTCCACAGCTGCTTGCCACCGCCCGTCCCTCCAACTTTTCCAGCATCTATCAAGACTTAGAGCACCCCATGTATTACCAGGTTGCCAATCTTCAGAAAACCCTTCAAACTCATCACTAGATATTGGTTGTGTACATATGTCTCTGATCTCTTGCACATGGGTCCAATCCAGCCCATCCTCCTCTTCGTTATCACTCCCAGTACCATCACTCCTCGTGAATCCCATAAAGCCTCCTCAGTTGGAGTATTAAGTATTTCATGGATTCGCTTCCTTTCCCATTCTTCATCTGACTCTTTCTCCCGAGTAACCCGCTTCAAACCTCTGCCTCCATCTCCCTCCTCCTCCATTTCAGAATCTGAGAAACCTTCGAACAAATCAGTATCTGTAGGTGTCATGAATATCTCCCTAATTCGTTTCCTTTGCTGCTCTTGGTCCAACACCTGAGCAGCCCTCTTACCCCTTCTACTACCAGTTGTAGCTTGACCAGCACACTCTACTGCAACAATCTATCTACCTGTCTATCTATTCCAAATGTATGGTGATACCTCAGGAACATCTATTGGGAAGGAATCTTCCAGTGTAGATCTTGAAGCTAGTGTTACTTTTGTTAAGTTGCACCATTTCTGACTACAGGTGGAAAGGTCGAGTGTTTGGAAGCTATATCATTTATGAAACCCAAGAAAACACCTCCTTATATACACAAAACTTGCATTTCAGAGATAGCAATCTTTTTCTCTCTAGCCCTGTATGCAGAAAACTGTGTAATTACAGGGAGAACATTCAACCACATGATTCCATTCTTATCATCTGAATATTGTTGGTTTTGGACATATAGACTCAGGAATGTCTGCCAATGCTTATGGGAAGCCTTCTAAACCATTTCCTGTAGAAAGTAATAGAAGGACTAAATGGCCTTTGTTCTGCTGGTTTTTAATAAATTGTAAACAAAGTAATAGATCCAATATTATTCTACCTGTTTCAATGGCAATTTCCTTTCTCCCCCTACAGCTATCTGCTTCATATGAAAACCTGCTATCTCAAGCTGTTTGTGAGAATATTAAGGGAACTCTAATATGTGGGGGATTGTTGAAAGTTTTATTGGTTGGGACTTTTTTTAGAGGGGGAAATTCTTCTTCCATTACCATTAGATGTTTAGCATTTCTTAAATTTTAATGGGGTTAACTGTATGCACACAAACTTGAGACAACTTTGAATGCAAAAATGTAAATGAAACCAAAACCACTTTCCGATGAGCTTCTAAAATGAATCCATTCTTTCTGGCTTTTAAGCCAGTTAAATATTTAAGTATGTCTGTAGGACCCAAGACTTTTACAGGATGACTCACTGAGGATTTTATGGAGTGACAAAAAGAGTCCCCATAGGGAGACATACAAAATTTATAAAATGTGGAGAATACAAAATTAAAATCCATCCAACAGCTTAGTAAGCAATAGAAGCCAAACAATATATAGCTTTGTTTGTTTTGAGAGAAAAAAGATTAAAATAAAGGACAAGGAACAAGAGACACAGACAAGTTAGTGCTGAAGATCTACTCAGGTAAGGAAATATCCTAAATAAAAACATCCCTAAAGAACTTCCACATGGACAGAAAGGAAGTCGGATCATTTCATTTGAATTCGGATAGTTTGGATTATTGAAGTAGGATTTCCACAGATGCTGTTTATTTTTCAATAACCATTCTGAAGTGACTGGCAATGCTTCTGTAAGTTTCCTCTTCTCTCTATTTGCATTCGTGTTGTCATGAGAACAGTACAGTACTTTTTTG